CATACTTCCATCTGTGCAACATAAACAGACTCCGTCCCTCTCTTACTCCCCATGCTGCTGCCATCCTTGTCCATAGCCTTGTCACTTCTAGGATTGATTATTGTAACTCTCTTCTCTTTGGTCTCCCTAACAAGTCCCTCCGTAAACTCCAACTCCTTCAGAACACAGTAGCTTGGGTAGTAACTCGTACCCCCTCCAAGGAACATATCACCCCAGTTCTACAATAGCTTCACTGGTTGCCCATAGAAACTAGAATAGTATTCAAAATTTTCAAATGCATTTACAGTCTCGCTCCTCCCTATCTATGTGGTCTTCTTCACATCGCCACTCCATCCCGATCTCTCAGATCTTCATCTGCCACCCATTTTACTGTTCCCTCTGCCCACCTTATCACCATGGAACACAGAGCTTTTAGTTGCTCTGTTCCCCAACTCTGGAACTCACTTCTGACGGATATCAGAAATATCGATTCTCTTCCATGGTTTAAGTCAAAACTCAAAACCCATCTGTTTAAGTTGGCTTACTCGCTTTAACCCAATTGTCTGATTATGTAAATAACTCTTTTTAATTATTTGTTTTTATTGTTTGTCTTTTATGGGCTATGTAAGATAACCTTGGGTTTTAGAAAGGCGTCCACAAATAAAATGCATTATTATTATTATTGTCCTGCACAGCGATGCACGAAGCGCAAAAAAGGCGCAGGAGGCCAAAGTCGGGGCAAACACGGGGTGTAATAAGAGCAGCAACACAAGGAGCAGGCAACACACGGGATGACATTACAATGACCAGACTGGGGAAACAAACTGAAACGCAGACTAAATACACTGAACTAATGACAGTAACCGGAAACAGCTGATGAACACGGGGTTTAATAAGAACATAAGAACATAAGAACATAAGAAATTTACAAACGAGAGTAGGCCATTCGGCCCATCAATAGGAATAGTGACAAAAGGAGCATGCAAACACGGAATAACATTACAATGACTGGACTGGGGAAACAAACGGAAACGCAGACTAAATACAATGAACTAATGACAACGATCGGGAACAGCCGGTAAACACGGGGAATCCACATTGGGTTAATGAGGGGGCGTGGCACACGAGAGGAGCGGACGATCGGGGCATGATAATTATTATTATCATCATCATCATCATCATCATCATCATCATCATCATTATTATTATTATTATTATGATAATACCCATGGAGGAGGTGGAGTAGATGGCTGGGGAAAGGGAGGTCTGGGCATCTCTGCTCAGACTGCCCCTGTGCCCTGGGCCCGAATAAGCAGTAGAGAATGGATTGATTAATTTCTTTTACTAATGTGCCTTATCAGTGCCACGCACAAAAAAGGAATGAAAAATATTGAATTGGCAATTAAGGACAACAAGTATGCAGATGACGCCACCATAATCAGCATCAAAAGTGGGAGAGACAGGAGGTAAGAGAGCTGCCGGAGTAGTGCAAGGTCCTCAGTCTGCTTCTAAGTATCAAGAAGAGAAATGAGATGGTCATGTGCTTCAGAAGAACATGGGGGGAGTAAAGCCCTCTATACATCAATGGTTCTGCTGTCAGCAGATGTGAGAGCATCAAATAACTGGACATTCACTTTGCTAAAATTATTACTCATCCGGGCTGCAGAAAATTCAAGGAGTGTCAAATTAAACAAGGTAGACTTCCAAACAGAGGGAATTGCACGGTCAGGAGATTTCCAACAGGAGGCTAATAACAATTTAGTGGCGGATTCTGCTGGGAGTGAGAAAGGGAAACAGAAAAGAAGTCCAGAAGAAGAAGAAGGACTGCAGGGGACAGAGGAATAGAAGAGGAAAGAACTGATGACAGAGATCTGGCCACGTGATCCCAAAGAGCAGCAACAGGAGGAGAGTCCCAGAACATAAGAAGAAAGGTGCCAGAAGGGGAGAGAGATGACAAAGAAGGTCTGACACTCATCCCATGAGACAGTGCTTCCTGAAAGTGGGGTACAGTCTACAAACAAATTAAAATTACGTTTGCTGATGATTGCGATTTTTAGGACTATTTATATTAGTCTGAAAAATGACACTCCAGGATAAAAAGGGGGTGGGGGAAAGCTCAGACTGCCAGATAGAAGTGAGTAAGAAAGGTTTATGAGAGGATTTGTGGAGGAGGGAATAGAGACCGGGCACAGGCTTAGAATTAGGGGATAGAGTCAAAGCAAATATGCACAGCAGATGAGGTGGAAATGGAGAGGAAAAAGAGAAACTATATGCCCTAAGCAGGGACCCCAGGTGGAGGTAGATAAAATATGAAGTGGAAGGAAGATTAAACGCAGACTTAAGAGAACAGCTTCGCAAGCAGCTTGACATCAGAGTTCCAGTCCCAATGATATCAGACATCAGTCACAATGGGCAGTAGCTGGAACAATCTGTGTCTCAAGTCATCAAGGCTGACTTAAGAGAAGGATGAAGATGGGAAGCAGAATTCAGTTGATCCTGCATGGATAGAAATAAATTCTAAGGAGTGAAATAAGCTATAAATTTGGAATTTGAACTGTATAAAATTACCGTTGCAAGGCCCAATGGGGTAGACAGAATAAAGATGAGGAAAGCGGAGAAGCATTAGAAATAGCAGGTACAAGATAGCGAGGAACAAAGGTGTAGTCTTTGTGAGACTGGGACTTATTGATTAATTAAATGGAATGAGTTAACCATTGAGGTCCTCCACAAATTTACACAAGCAGCGAGTGGAGGGGGGCACCCCCAAGAGAGTGGGACTTATCCAGGACAGCATCATGGACAGCATCATTTCCAATAACTAAATCTAATTCCTGGATTTTCAACAAAACAGAACTTCCTGCTCCCCCAGGTCGGAAAGCATATAACAGAGCCTGCCATCAGCATCCCCCCCCCCCAAATCAAGAATATGAATTTGAAGGGCCCCCTAGATAAGTATGATCACCCCGCATCTCCATGAGGAAGGCAGTGAAGAGGAAGCAGCCCTATAGAACCGGGAGCCCACAGTGCATTCCGCTGTAGTATAGGGTCTCTATAAGGTAGGCAAGATCAATAGGTTGCCTATTTAGAAAATCAGACACACTAGACCTTTTTCGGGGTTTTTCAGGGCTCTAACATTGAATAAGCTATATTTACATTAGCCATGGTTGGAACTAAAAAAAAGGACAGTAAGGTGGAAATGAAAATACGTCTCAGGGCAAACCACCTCCCCCCCATAAATCCCCCAACCCAGTGCTCTGTAATGGCCATTGCTGTGATTCTATGAAACAAAATGGTGAAAAACAAAAAGGCAGCAGAACGTACACCCTCCCGCCCCTTCTGATCACTGTCAGAGAATGTGGGCACATGGAGCTTGAAGCCAAGCTGCAAAACAAAATAGCTCCATGTACACGTCCCTCTCCCTTCTCTAAATAAAGACAACAGAAATAAAAACAGAACCCATACCACTGTTACAACCCTGTGTACAGAACAGAAAGAACCTTCAGCTAAACAAACAGTAGTGATAATCTAGCAATCATTCAATTACTAAATTAACAACAGGAGGAGTGAAGGATAAAATAGACTAAAAGTCAAAAGCATCACACAACAGGGCAGTACAAAGCACAGAACCCATGGTAATCACAGTAACCTGCAAGAAATGACCGGCAAACTCGGTGCAGATCAAAAGAATCAATCAGGGACAGTCTCAAGAGATTGGAAATTATCTATGGCAGTGTTTGCATCCTCAGGATTAATATACAAAATATGCAGACTTTCAAAGGAGAGCTTCAGGTCCACAGGGAAAATTGAAAAAGAGAAAATCCCAACTCCTTAGTTCTCCTGATCGGGGCATTTATCACTTTCCCAGCTACAGCTGTTTTAGCGCTGAAAGTCTTGGTTAAAAAAAAGACTCTCCCACCTTCAAAGTTGAAGTTGGTTTTGTCGGCTTCACAAGTCACTGTCTGTTGGTCACGAAAGTCAATAAAGTGCATAAGAATGAGAGGGGGACGAGAAGAGTTTTCTGATATGTTGTACAGCCTGAGAGCAAAGTCAATGACTGGGTGACAGTCAAAGAGATGAGGGAAAATATCAGGCCACAGTTGGTTAAATAAAATGACCTCAAATCGCTCCCTTCGCGACCAAGCTTAACACCAATTAATTTCGGGCTAAGGCGACAGCTTCTATCTTTAATCGGTTATTCTGTTGTCCAGAGAAAGCAGTCCCTAATTAAAAATCAGCCAGCTTCTTGGAGTGCTGATTGGTTACAGCCTTTACTGAAGCGACTTCTTTCTGAATCGACGTACAGTCGGCTGTCAGTGCATTCAAGTCAACTTGCAGCTGCAAATGGTAATGCAGGAGTAAGACATCTAGTGAGTTTACCTGCTCCAATAAAAAAGCTTTTAATCTTCTCCTGGAAAGGAACCAGGCAAGGGCATCCTCACGTACATCGCCATCAAAGCAGGGCACATTGCTCTCCGGACTACAAAGAGCAGAGCGAGGTCTGTGCTGACTACCAGCCATCAGGATGGACAACCAGATGGTCCACCAAATATGAGCTAATTTACTGACAGAGAAGTGGCTTGAGCACTATGGAAGGTGGGGGGGGGGAAGGGTGGAAGGGATGCATAAGTGCAGAGCAAGGCAGCCATCAGCAGTGAGCATCACAAACTGTAACTCCCTGCATTAACCTTTCTTTCCATTCCACTTCAAATCAACATAATGCGGTTAAGGTCAGGTAATTATACAGGCCAGGTCATCACTTTCAATTCCCCTTCATCTTCCTCCTTTAAATAGTTCTGACAGGGTATTTACACTGACTGTACTGGTTAACTAGAGTTTACCCAAAAATGGTCAAATATAGGGTGTTTATATGGTGTTAAGCTGCAATATGACCTGACACATAGAAAGGGATGCTGCCCACCAAAACCAGCTATTCATTTTTAGACAGCAATTAATTTTTGTGTAATCATAATAGAAGCTTAAAACAAACAGTGAAGGAATGGGTGAAGGTATACAACACTCACCAATGGTCTGTAGCTCCTGCACCTCATTCTGCAAGTCAGACCTCTGTTGGACTGCAAGATCAAATAAAAGGTAGCAGTAACATCTTTGTGAGGCTCACGGAAAAGAGACCCCTCTACGGATCACTCTGACACTATTTCTATAATACACTGATCATCAACTGGCGGCCCGCTGAGCCGTTCAATCCGGCCCGCGACTGGACCATCTTAAACATAATGTTAAGCCAAAATTAGATTTTTATTTGATTTTCTTCTTGGGGGTCCGGGCCCCCAAGGAGACTGTCTGGTAAAACTCTGGCCCTCTGACAAATATAGTTGATGACCCCTGCTACTGTATAATACATTGTTTCAGCAAAGTGACATTCACCTGAGGTGACATTCACCTGAGGTACTGCTTGATGTCATCCTTTGTAAGTCTGTCATCTCATTCTGCAGGCCAGATCTTTGTATAACTAGAAGACCCAAAGGAAAAGTTAACAGTAAGTTCTCAGAATTTATGAGGCTGTCTTCATCCTAGTTATGTCAAGCTAACATTTATCACGACTTATCCAAACCCTTCTTTCGGTGAACCTGTACCCTATTCCAGGGTACACCATACCAGTCCATCACCACCATGGAACTGTAGTATATATGATTTACTCAATGTTATTTATTGTGTTATACAGTTCTGTATTATACATTTATTTTTACATTATACATATAAAATTGCAATCGTTTAATGGATAGATTTGAGCTGTAACAGAGATTTACAGAGAGTCATAAAAACATATTGCAGTATAGTTCTGCCAGTGTTCACATTACAATACTTAGTGCAAACACTACTTACATGAGACACTGAGTACAGCACCAAGAATGATCAGTGTGATGATCCACAGAGAGATGAACACCACCAATGTCCTCTTGTACAGAGACTCACTCCTAGAAGTGTTTTGTGGTTCTGAGAGTTTTAAAAAATGGTTATTGCCTCTCCATGCAATCCTATTCATACTAGTAATTTTTCTGGATAACAAATGATTCTTGCATATATCTTTTCCTCAGATTTACATTCATATGATAACATTCAGTAATCAGTGGCTCATGATGATGAGTTCACCTTCAGTTTAGTTGATTGTCAATGTCAGTTGAATCTCCAGTAAATGCCATACTAATTATAATTGTAGCTGGTAATCTGTGTAACAAAATACTTCTGAGCTCCTAGAAGATATAAAAACACCAGAGTTACACTCACCATAGCCTGGCTGGGTACAGATTCCTCCAACATGACTATATTCTGTTTTTTGTTCACACAAAGTGCTGCACTTTTGCAAATGATCATTTGCGAAATTCATCTCGATGTTCGTATACCGGCCATCCATCACTGCTCCAGGAAGAAGTGAGAACAGATAAATCAATGAGAATTCACCCACACACTATGGGCAGCTTAGTGACATGAATTAATATAACAGGAAGTCTTGGGGAGGAAACTCATTCAAACACTGAGACCCCTTGAAAAGTCAACACCCCGAGAGGCTGCGTCAGAATCAAATCCACAAGCCTGGACGCTACAGCACAATACTGTACAGTAAGGCACTGAGCCACTACTCTGCCCTGCTAAACTCTGTATAGTACAAATATATCAGCTTCTATCAGCTTGAATCAGGTTCCTCCCGCTCCAGTCAAATCGCTCCACGCTGGCTCCAATTTAAAAGAGCCATAACACCTCCAGGCACCCCCCAAGCCCCAGCCAAGGCGCCCGAGGCATCATGCCTCGGGAGCAGCTGCAGGCAGAGGCAGCAGCGATCGGCAACTCTTAGCCAGCAGCGGGCGCTGACGAGACAGGCAGGGCAGACGAGACAAGCGAGGCAAGCAGGACAGGCAAGACAGACAGGACGTAGCGGCAGCAGCAGGCAGTCCCGGGACCTCGGGTGTAGCGGCAGTAGCATGAGGCGCCGGGACCTCGGGTGTATCGGCTGCAGCAGGCGGCACCGGGACCTCGGGCGTAGCAGCGACAGTGGGCACCGCTAACTCATGACCAGCAGGGGGCGCTGGCGAGGCAGGCAGGACGGGCAAGGCAGACAGGACGGGCAAGGCAGACAGGACGGGCGAGACGGGCGTAGCGGCGGCATCAGGCGGTGATGTAGGCAGAGTGTGGGCCGCAGGCGGTGCTGCGGGCGGAGCGGCAGCAGAAGGCGGTGCCGTGGGCAGAGCGGCCGGGAGAGAGCAAGCCCTCAGGTACACGGTTGGGTCTTCCTCTGCTTTGGTCTCCCTGCGCTTCTTCTTTCTCCTGCTTTTTTTGGCTGGTTGAAGGGGGGTTGCTCCGGAGAAAACGAGCGGCTGGAGCCACTTCTCCATTACTCCTTCCATAAGCTGTTGTGCTGTTAAGACGGGCGCGCAAGTCATAGCCGACATCAACACGTGTGCGCCCGTCAGCAGGGTCATCACCTCAAGGAGGGTCCTGCTCTTGCTGGTTAGATCCCGCAGTCTGGGGTCCTCACGAACCTCTGGCAGGTTCAGCCAGTATATCACCTTGCATAGCAGATTTAGACGTTGGTCCTCGATCTGCGGAGGTGCGTTGGCGAGATCCGTCATTCTGTTGCGCTGTGTGTGCATGCGAGCGGACGAACAAGCGAAGCCAGCCAGGAATGAAGGTAAAACGGGGTTTATTCCAGGAACAGGAAGCACACGGGGAAAAACGACAACTAAACATTAATGACGGATCTCGGGAACACTAACTCAGACGTGGAATAAATACACAGGATAGGCAGAAAATAACAGGCAACAGGTGATGACAATCGGGAAGTAACACGAGGTAATGAGGGAGGCGTGGCACACAGGAGGATCGGACAAGCAGGTCATGACAGTATGAAGACAGAAAATTCTTTATTAGGTTATTTGATGCATCAAATAAGCCGAGATGCAGGGTCCCAAACCCAGCAGCACAACTTACAGGGTGTGGCTAAGTCAATTTAAAATCGAATTCAGAAATTCTGAACAACCCTAGTAGGCTACATAATGAGCTAACCAATCAAACTTGCTATGTGTTCAGTCACATGTTTTGAACTAGGAAAGTGAATCACCCGTCATGATCAGCAATGGCAGAGAATTGTGCAAGTCAAAAGAAGACAGCGTTTGAGACGGCGCCAACCAGGAAGCCAAGTTGCTTTTGCGGGTGGTCACGAACCCCTTGGACCACCTCAGTAATCAATTGATAGAGAAATACAGGCTGGCCTGGGGTGATATAATGTGTCTTCTTCATCTAGTGTAGGATAAACTGAAAAAAGGAATACACTGGAATTTTCCCCTCAATGCACCATGCAGCTTCTGACAGCTCTCTGCTTCTATGCCACTGGTGGGTTCCTGCAGACCTACAGATGCACATGGCCTCAGCAAGGCTGCTGTATCCTTCATCTGTGCATTGATTGATCACATTTCTGTTGCACTGCGCACAACTTCGTACAACGTCCAGCAGGAGGGGATGCCTTACGTCAGTGATTCCCAACCGGGGGTACGCGTACCCCTAGTGGTACGCGAGCACATTACAGGGGGTACGTGGAAAAAAATTTAATATTTAATTTCCCTGATGATGGGTAAATATTATCAGCCATTCCATTAGCTGTGCCCTGGTATAGAAAGAAAATCTGTCTGGGATGTGTTGCTTAATGAAGGAGCATGTCATGGATTTGTCATCTGACCGTGGGCTGAAAATAGCATTTGCTGAGAAGACATTGACTGAGTTTTGGTGTGATGTGGAGAAGGAATATCCTGAACTGGGAAAACATGCACTGTTTGAACTTTTACCTTTTGGTTCTACCTATATGTGTGAGGTGACCTTCTCAGCTTTGACACACATCAAAACCAAGCAGAGGAATAGACTGGATGTGGAGAACAGCCTGGTAACAGCTGTTTCCACACTGCCCCCAGATCTATCAGAGCTTATCAAAGATAAGCAAGCTCAGGTGTCTCATTAAACTAAACTAAGTTGAATGATGAAAACAAAGTAAAACTGATATGGTTATTTATTTTAGTGTTTTGCTCCTGATGTTCTAAGTTTAAATGTCTGTTTAAAGGGGACTCATTCAGCTTTTGTTATAACAAAGGGAGGTTTATTTACTTTTTTTTAAATTTAGTATTTATTTTCAGATTTATCATTCACTTTCATGGCAACATATATATTTATGTTAAATTTAAACTGAAAAGAATAAAATGCCCAATAATTAAATGTTCAAGTTATGGAGATTTAATAAAATGTTTTAAATTTGATAATCAGTTGTACGTTCTACTTTTATTGAATCATCAACACATTTGACAAAGGGGGTACTTGTGGTATGAGAAAATCTCTCAGGGGGTACACAATTCAAAAAAGGTTGGGAAACACTGCCTTACGTGACACTAAAACTGGTTTTCATGCCATTGCAGGCATCCCTGGCATTGTAGGTGCAGTGAATGGAACCCTCAACCCTATTCATATTTGCAGCCCCAGAATCCCACCTGCAGCTGCCAAAAAAAAAGGTTCTTGGCACTAGGCCACACACTACTGTAGAGGGTGTTTTGGGCTTGTGAAAGATGTGATTCTGCTGCCTACATAAGTCCTTGGGAGCTCTAGATTTCCCTCTGAATGTTGCTGTGCTGTTCTTGTTATGTGTAGTATGCTGTACAATATCACAATATTTATTAAAATACATTTTTGACCACCTCCTCAATAAGTTAAAATAAGAACACAGCATCACATTTTGAGCCTATTTTCAGAATCAGAATCAGCTTTATTGGCCAAGTACCTTTGCGGGGCTGCAAAAAACAAACAATTAAATCTAGTGCGTACAGACGAGACTTCAGCCAGAAAGACATGACATAGTGCAAAGGTGCATAGTGCAAGATGTTGGTTGCTATATATGCATGAGGTACAGTGGATGCTTGGTGATAGTAGATATTGCACAAGTATTATCCTTGACACATAAGTGATGGCTTGTGGAAAGAAACTATTCATGTATGTGGTTATTTTGGCGTACAGTGCTCTGTAGCGCCTGCCAGTTTTTAACATTTGCATATATCTGGTGTAACAATCATATAACATATTTCACCATTAAAATACATGGAATCGATGTTCCTGTTAGGGACAGTCTGGAATTTTCTCTTGTGAGAAAATACCATCAGTATGTGACAAAATAAATTGAGATTCATTTAGATCAGGCAACATTTTTCTACTCTAATAGTGTGGTTTCTGTAGCTTCTGCTTTTTGTTATTTTTAGGTAGCAGCGTTGTGGCCCATCGGCTTTACGAACAGATGAGTAGTGAGTTTGAAAATAACTTTCAACGACTGTTCTACTGAGGTGTTATGTTGTTTGCACTAATAGTCACTGATCAGGGGATTTTATTTTTTAGTGCATCATTCTCTATAAAACCTCTTGTTCAGTGCACCAAAATTTTACAGCATATCTTTTTTTCTGCCACGTTGAAACCACCATATCAGACAGTACCTGAGAATCTGGTACCCCGTCTGCAAGCTGTATATTTATTCACTGCCACATGGTTAACACATTGGAGGGGCATACTGTTTACTAAGGTGTTAGATCTAAGTGATTTTACACATGGAAGGATTGTCGGTGCCAGCATCTCAGAAACAACCACCTTCCTTGTCTGTACTATAATGTCTACAGTTTGCAGAGAATGTTGCAAGAAAAACAGAGTTGCCAAATAACTCCTTGTTAATGAGAGAAGTCAGAAGAGAATGACCAGGCTTGTGTGGTGCCCAAAGCACAGAATACCCATGCTGCTCTCTGACTACGCCACCTCCGGATAAGGGCAGGAGAAACCCTTAATGTTCCTTCCTGAAATGTGGCTGAGTTTAAACCCTCCCTGTGAAGGAACAATAAGAAAGAGGCATATGGAAATAAAACCCAATCCACTTTATTACAAATAACTAAAATCAATTAAACAAATAAAAAGAAATGCTGCCAAAGGTGGCCGGCTCCAGATAGTAAGGTCAGATCGACACGCACAGCCCTCAGCTCAGGAAGCCCCTGATGAGGAAGAAAAACAGCAAAGCCCAACAGCACACAAGCATGCAACACGACAAGCACTACACACACAAGACACATAAATAGCACTGCAAGATACAACCCAATGTGAAGATTACAAACACCCACCAGTGCAGCACCCCCTCAGTGTGGAGCCCCAGCAGCAAAGAGCAAAAGCCTGTGTGGATCCGGCCTTGTACAGAAACCAGTATCCACAAGTATAATACTAAATCACTATCATAATTTGTATTCGGTTTTGGGTTTTTTTGCCTTTATGCCCTTGATTGTGTTTTTACCGGTCTGTCATTCCCAGTGTTAGATTCTGTTTCCTTGTTTCTGTCACTGTCTTAGTTTTTCCCTCCCAGTCCCCTGATTTAATTATTAGTTTCATCTGTGGCCTGTTTTCCCAAACCTTGTTAATTAGTCTCACCTGTCCTGTGTTAGCCTTGTTACCCCTCAGTATTTAAGTCCCTGTCTCAGTTCAGTTCCCCAGTGGTTTATTGTATGTATATTGTTGTTCGTCAGTGTAGTATTTCTAGTGTATTTAATGTCTGAGTGGTTACCCTGGTGTTTTGTTATTTGTTGCCTGCCCGCCTGCACGCCCCATTTGTAGTCAGTCATTGTTATTCCTTTTTTTTTTGTTTTGACCCCTAATGGTCTGTTTCTGTTTAATGTGTTTCTAGTGTTTTTCTGTTTGTGAATGAACTCCCGTGTTCTCTGAGCCTGCGCCATGCCACACCCTTGCTCCAAATCCGCCTGGATCCCTGACTGTAGTGAAATGCAACAACAGGAGAATTTGCCACCTTGGCAAATTTTTATAACTTCCTGGCTCGAATGACTGCATATGCTATGCATTTACCAGTGTCATGTGACCACTCCTGCTGCCCGTGTCAGACCCCCCCACACTTGCTATAGCTAACAGGAAAACTACAAGTGTAGCAGCTCAGTGGAAGAAAAAATGCTTCTCTCTACACACAACTTCTTAATCCTATAAGAAGGAGCTACTGTATACCACAGCTACGTAGGGGTAGTGGTACTTTTTAAAGTGGCCTCTTAGTGTACAGGAAAACCACTCACAGTAAGGCCTGCCAGTACTTCAGCATTAAATGCGTATAAAGAACTGTGCAAAAGTCTCTGGCAGCCAGTGGCGGCTGGTGAAAAAAATTCTTGGTGGGGCTGACGTACCAATAGATTTCACTTCCTAGTCAAGTATAAGCATTCAAATGAACAGTCAGAAAATGACAATTTCACAATCATAATTTAATTTCCTTCTCAAAATCAGCAGTTTCACAGATAAAGTAAATTAACAATTTACAGCTACAGTTATTTCGGGCTTGTCGGGTCCCAGCTCCTTAACGTGGATTTTTTTCCACCATCGTCCTTCTCGCAAAAAGGTAATTCAATAACGATCTCACCGAATTTGGTGGAAGCTGCCCCTCAACTGTAAATAATAATAATAATAATATATATATATATATTATTATTATTATTTTTTTTATATATTTTATATTCCCCCCACATCTGGGAGGGCAGCGCCCGAGCGCCCCCTATGGACCAGCCGCCACTGCTGGCAGCCAAAGAAAACTGAGTTATGCTTATATTGGTGTTGAATTCTGATTATATCTCTATAGAAATATCAGATCAACCATTTCAAAACTTCACCTAAAGTCAGCCCTGAACAAATGTACACTTACTGCAGAGCTAAAAACTTTAAACATACTTCCTTGGCACATTACTGTACACACATGTAGTGGATTAATTGATTGAACGTCATATGGTGACCAACTTCAGCAATGAATTACTGCAGTGTGGTCTTGGCCTTTCTGCAACAAATTCTTATTTATTATTTAAAAAGTTGCCTTTGGATGATTGACTGATACCATGCCCCAATATTATATGATGTGTAATATTGTACTTTCACAATCGTATATAACACTAGGTTGTATAAGAACTGGAATAAAACAGGTGCCTTTGAACCAGACTTGATTCTCAATGCTTCCTCTTTGCATGTGGACCATGCATGTTCTCTCTGTGTCTGACTCCCCCCCCCCCCAAACCACCACTACCAGCCCCACCACCAATGCTTCCTGTTATATGAAGTGGTGTCTCTAGGCTGCCCATAGCATATGAGTGAATTCTCATTGCTTTATCTGTTCTTAATTCTCCTTATACCAGAAATGGATAACATATATGCAAACATTGAGCTGAATTTCACATCTGATCATTCACAAAATCCCATTGATTCATCTGGACCTGGAAAGCAGTTTACTCCTCTTGGAAGAGTCAGTGTTCAGCCAGACTGTGGTGAGAGTAACTGATGCTTTTCATACGTTGCATGTATCAGTAGCATTTTTGAAGTGTTTTGTTAGTGCACAAATTATCAGCTATAAGTAAACAGGTTTGGTGTTGACCGTAGATTAGACCTGCACAGACAAAGGATTAATCTGCTAAAGCTTTGAGTCTTTAATTGTTCTGTTGCTGCAACTCCTGGATGTAACATCATCACCATCATTTATTTATGGCTAATTGGCTCCTTGAATGCACTATCTGCCTCATTTGTACTTTGCTTTAAACAACAACGAATGCTAAATAAATGTTATCATTGTGAGTCACTCCATTTCTGTTATGCTGACAGTGAACAGTAGATTTTTAATCTAAATTTCAATTAATCTGAAAAAAAACATCAAGATATGTGCAAAAGTCAATTGTTCAAAAAAACCTATCAGTCTGAATTGGACTGCATGGAAATGTGACCCAGAATGCTAATAATTAGTTTATTTTAAACCTTCAGAACCACAAAGCACTACTGACCAAGAGACACTGTACAAGAGGACATCGGCAGTGTTCATCTCTTTGTGGATCATCACACTGATTATTCTCATCGCTGGACTGAGTGTCCTGTGTAAGTAATTTAAGTGATTAAAGTGTAAAAACTGTAAATTACACTGCAGTAGGCTTTAGCTCTACACTGTAAAAAAATGTTCAGCCAACTTAAAAATTCGAGGCAACATGCTGCAATACATTTTTGAGTTAAGCTAGTCAACTCAGTTACAAAAGTTCAACAAACCTATAGACGGAGGTTCAGCTAACTTTGACTTAAAAGTTAGGGCAACACTGTAATACAAGTTAGATTAACCTAGGTACAAAGTTTCAATAAACTTAGATTGTTAAATTGTCAACACTATTTTGCAAGTTCGATTAACATAGGTACAGAGGTTTAGTCAACTTTGTTTGAGGAGTCAAAATTAAATTTAAATAAACCTGCCTTGTTTAGGTGACATTTTAAGAGTTAATGTTTTCATTAACTTTTTTAAATAGCAAGATTCAACTGTAATATTTCAAGTTGCCTTGTTTAAAGTACTAAAAAACTTATATTACCATTAGAACCCACTGAAAAAAGTGTCACAAGGGTGTAGCTGGTTTGATCTAAAATTTTCATGTAGGATTGATGTATTATTTTCTGTAATGTGTTCAACTTCAGTTTTTTAGCTGCCCCATTTTAATATGCACACAAGAAGTCATGAGGATCAGAAGAGCCACCCCGATTTACCTACCGTCATGTGAAAGACTCTGACCAAAAAGGACCTTACAGCTTTTTCTTGTTTTGTATTGAAGTTTTGTTGGCTCAGTTTTGACTGATCTCGGAGCTGTGATTCTTGTGGTTTTATAGCATCTTGATAACAAGTCAGAAGAAAAACTCTAGGAGATGTACTGGATGTGTCTCCAGAGTGTATCCATTTTAATGTTGTAGCAGTATATTTGATTGCTGGTCCTGCCCTTGGATGATTAACATATGTGGAAAGGTGTCAGGACAGCTGTGATGCCCTTTTCTGTGCAGCTCCTGGTACTGCCCACTTCCCTGTAGACCAATGGTGCCGGATGTATATTTGCATAACATGACACAGTACTGTTTTTGACTTAACAGGTTTTTTTTTAAAATACACCACGATTGCAATGAATAGGGCAAGAGAACAAAAACCACAGAAATTGATTTTGTGTGCTTTCCAGTGACTATAGGTGAGATGGAGTAGGCTCTATGGTTTGGAGAAAGCATCAGAAAATGCTACGGAAAATTAACTGCTTTGTTTCTATTCTCAGCCTAGATTCTCTAGGAAATGCATCCAGACCATATGCACCTCTACAATTGATAAATTTGTCTTTAACAGAATAGCAAATAATAAAGCATAGTAAGATTTCTTTGGGCATGCATATACATATGAACTACACTACTCAAACCAATTAGCATACATCAACCCAGAAAAACTAGTAAATAAATGTGGTAAAGACTAATATTAGTGCCATACCATCCTCAATCGTGGTGCTTTTCTAAACATTAAGCTTAATTAAAATCTGAATATTAAATGAGCAAAATGATTTGATTTGTTCTTCCATCCCAAGTTGTGGTCTAAAGACAAAAGGTACTGTTTCTGGCCACTGTATCTTGTTTATAGCTATTTATGCAAGGATGCAACAATGCGTTGTAATAAAGTGGACTGTTGCAGTAAACTGGCTTTTGGGTTATTTAGTTCTTTCAAATTATATTTATTAGTTGAGAATGAGCAGTTTTATTGGTTTTAAGTGCAAAAATCTAATGTATTAGATTGACTACTTTAAGTTGAACTGACTTGAAAAAATTATATTAACCAAACTTGAAAAAAGTCTGAAAAAATTAAGTAATATTTTAAGTTGATCCAATGTTTCCTTTTTAGCCTATAGGTTCTAGGCACGAAGAGGCAGGCAGGCAGATGAAATTTAACATAGACAAATGTAAGGTACTCCATGTAGGGAGCAGAAATATAAAGTACAGGTATTTTATGGGACCTACTGAAATAAAGGTAGCTGATTATGAGAAAGA